CTGATACGAGGTACGGTACTGTGTCCGGAGCGTGTACATAATAACGAAAACCATTTTCAAAATCATCCGAAAAGATCGGCTCAGGATCATCTTAATTAGTACGATTTAATCAGATAACTGATATGCCTACCTTAGAAATCACACTTCTTGATTATATAAAAAAGGGATAAAGCTGGTCAGAGAACAACTATTTGAGCAGTTATTTACTTTTGACTATATGCAACTAGGAGGTTAAGCTAGAACTTTAGAAGTTGCCACCTCCTGTTCCATCGAACTGCTCCTCGAGATGCGCATCCAAAATGATTTGCAAACTAAAAAATGCTATAGGAACAGCTGCATAGTTGATGGGGATAAAACTCACCCTGCAGTTACTCCAGCTTCCATCTGTTTTTGCATCCAATCCTTTCCAGATCCGTGCATGTCCAAACTAAAAAAATTATATCCCAAGTTTATTAAAGCATCATTTCACAAATCTTACGTGAAACATTTTCCTAAATTCGTTAGAATTGCAGACATATATTGACAACAATTGAATTGTCGCCCTCCAAACGAACAGAGCATCATTGTCTCCTCACAAGAGAATCTGCAAGTCATGTTGAGGCACCAATAATATGCATGAAAGAATTGAAGCTTTTACCCAGCTTTCATGAAAAAATCCAGCACGGTGAAGTTTGGATGGAGAATTTGATACGCATCAAGCGCTTTTTGACCTGGAACACTAATTACGCTGAAGAGCTAAACTAGTCCAATCGTTTAGGAACGAAACGATAGGAAATGTTGAAATCGAAGGTAAGGATTTTACATTATTCCCAATAATAGCTTGCCTACCTACATGCAAAGTTTCACGATCAGCTGTTCCATAAAGTGTATTAGCATCGATAAGAAATTCCATGAGGTAATCCAGTAGATCGTCAGAAAAATCACCCGTTCTATTCAGATCTGTAAACTTTGTCAAAATTCAATTTCAAGTCCTAATTACATAACCTATAAAGTATGCATTCTGCAAAATATAATCAATTACGGATAAAGCTCACATCTGATGTAGGATTTCTTAATCGGATTAAAGTTGCACAGCGTAATCATTGGAAATTCGATCCCATCATCTTTTATGAGAAAAGAAACCTGAATGGAGCAAAAAATTAAAGAAGATTGTTTTTTCAAGAGAGGGAGAAGTGTATGGAAGGGAGGATGAGTTGGGGGAAGGAGGAAAGGAGAAGAGGCCACATGTTATGGAGGAATTATCTCCATAACATGTGGCCTCTTCTTTTTGTAAATTTTTGAAGGGATTTTATTAGAATGTCATGATCAGCACAACATCGCTCTCAGATACTTAAAATATTGGCAACAGCAGTCATTTTTGTTTCTACCCGTGAGCTTCGAGAATTCTTCTGATATCAATCAACGCACTCGACTAAGCGTAGTCAATAAAGAATTGCTTAGGTTTGATGAACATAAGCAGTTTTTACCATGTCTTTGCAGTGATACCACAAAATGTAAAATTAACTGGATGTCCTTCAGGATTTTCGAAATATTCTCTGGTGTTGGAACGCTGCACAAGAAAAAAAAGTGTATTTATTTGTGCCAAGTTCAATAGTTGCAATGAGTGTGAGATGGAGAGAATTTGCAATGAAAGGCCAAAGAACAAAATCTGTTTAGCCGTTTGTTCCTACCTGTACAGAGATTGAGAAATGCTGCTCGGGAAATCCTTGCGTTAGAGACAGGTAGCTCTCATTTTTGGGTGGCGCTACCTTACTATACTTTCGAGCAAATGATAAAATTACCCACCTCAACATATTTTGTTACCGCCTTGACAAGTACTATAATGGAAAAAAGTCTTTATACGATTCTTCGTGGGTCGCCATTCAAAAATTTCTAACGATTTTTAGTGATGAGATTTACAATCTACTCCCCTTCCCTTTTTACGATTACCCTGCATACGTCAGCGCAGGGCGCTCCGCTCATTCGGACTTACGTAAGAATAGCACACGTGACGTAGTTGTTTTATTAAGCGTGAAATAATCGCTGGGCCAAAGATAGGATGTAATTTTACAGCCACAGGATCATTGTTTCTTCAATGGAAACCAAATAATACAAGTTTGGAAAACGCTTGTGAACAAAGCGCTGAATTGAAGTCGAAAAACATTTTCTTGGGACTATACAACTTAAAAACTTGAATAAAAATTCTACTATTATAAAAAGACAGCTATA